TGGGCGATGCCAATGATTAAGGGTTGGGCCAATGAGAGGAACGACGGCATCGTGGGCCTCCTCACTCGTTTTTGCGCCGCGAAAGTGGTGCAGTTGCTTGCCTCTGCGGACCTGACTACCTGCTCACGAAGGGAGAGGAAAATCTCAACTGAACGCGGACACTGCCTTTAATAGCGGCATTTGAAAGGGGAAGAGGCAGCTGTGATTCTAATATTCGATTACCAACCGTCACCACTGTCGACGAGACATGGAATAATGCTGCCAAAGCAGTAGTCTAGGCCGCTCGTTCCGAACTTAGCACAGCGAAACCGCGAATGTGTAGAACCGAAAAAGAGGCACAGGCTGAAGGTTCACTAGAAGACGAAGCTTTTGTAGATTGAGGTCAACTCAGCCGACAACCGACGGAAATATCAGGAGCGACAAGTGCGGCAAAGATGGCTGTGGCTGCTGCGAAAGCCGCTCATTTCGAAGATGTCAGCAAGTAGCTGGAAGCGCGTGACGGCAAACAGATCTACCGACTTGCCAAAGCTCACCTCCAGACCAAGGATGTAGAGTAGTTCGTTGGCATCAACGACGAGAAGGACCGTCCTTTGGTGGACCGAACTGTGACGTCTTTTGGTGACTGTGCAGATGACGCGACCACTTTGAGGGAATCTCCACAGCAGAATAAACATACCCGGCTACCTCACCAATATGCTACCCTGTCCGGAAGACAACCATAAAGGGAATGGAAGGCGGCTCTCAAGAAGATGAAGCCAGGCAAGGCAACGGCCCTGACGACGTGGCGGCCGAAATATGGAAATCACACTGCTGGCATACTGCCGAATGGTTGAAGAATTTCTTCAATCATGTCGTTGAAGGGAGGAAAATGCCCGAGGCAAGAGAACACGACGTTTCTGATTTGGAAGAAGAAGTCAGACTGTGCGAACTATCGCCCGATTCGCTCGCGCATATTATGGGAATTTTTAACGATAGCTCTCTACCAACCAGTGTGGCTTCGTGACTGGCTGTAGCACCATCGATGCCATACATGCCGCTCGCCTCTTGCTGGAGAAACCTCGTGCCTCGAGGTAAGAAGAAGCATGCCCATCTAGCTTTCCCCTATTTGGAGAAGGCATTCGATCGTGTTCCGCGTCAAGTCGTATGGCACGCCTTACGACA